CAAATATCACAGGAGAAGAATCCTTTCCATGTTAGGGAAGGATGTGCTGCTTGTCCCTAGTTACCTGCAAAGTACTTGATTTCTTTTCTCAAACAAGATTATGCACTACCTCACTGCAGATTACATCACCGTCTTGAACTCGCAACAGCACGCACGCCTCACCTCACCCTGCACTGTGCCCAAGCGCAAGGAGCTTTGGAAGAGCAGAAGCAGCAGCTTTAGCAATCTCATTCCTCTGGCAGCGGAGCAGAGCACAGGGACACAGGGTAAAGTGGTGTAGGCAGCGTTGCTCCAAAAGGGAGCCTGCTTGCCCAGGCTGTGCAGGCACTGCCTCACCACACAGGTGCCGTCCCCGTGTACCAGAGCTGCGAAGGGGCTGGTAACAAGGATCTTCCCCATCTCCTCCTCAGAGCAAGGCAGGATCCCAGTTTAAGGCCAGGTATTCCCTGCACACAAGCACTGGACCTCGCTCTTCACCTCCTACATGGACTGCTGAGGATAGCATTGCAGGGGAAACGGCATTTTGGAGATCCACTGCTAATCCTGCGCGAGACTTACCGAAAGGGATCCTTGGGAGCGAAGTAAGCTGGGGCAGACAAGTAACTTCCCATCTTCGACACTGGATAAACCGGCTCAGCCACAAACTTGTCCAACTGCCTCTGAACAGCTCTGTTCTGCCAACATGGCAGCAGCCAGTGCTCATTTAACCTTGCGCTGATTCAGATACTTCACCTCTCTTTGAAGCTGCCCAAGGAATGCCAGGTCTCTCGGCTGCTCATTCCTTTTCAGATTTTTCCTGGCTCCTGTGGCTACAACCATCTTCTCCTGCACTGGGCAGCAGCAGCACCCTTGGGAAGGACAGAACAACTGCTAACTGGGCTAGTTGGACATGCTGCTGCAATAGTTCTTGCGAGCGCTGCTGCCTGCTAACTATTGTCAAGTTTTCCCTTCTGTGGTTCCACCCAAGGGTGGGAGGGGAGGAGGAGCCTTTGCAGGAGGACAGCGTGTGGCTACAGCGGCTGAACGAGCTCTACTTCTTCACAAGGGGTGGAGCTTTGATCCAGAGTGGGCTGCGTTAATAAGTGCTGAAAGATAGCAGCTTTTGCCAAAGTCAGGAGCCAAGTGCGTAAATGTGAAGCTACTCTTTGCAGCAGCGGCACGTTCTGGTGGAGAAGTCAAGGAAGGCAGAGCCTGACAAAGACAGCTAGCCACATCTCCAAACACATCAAATTAATGTTTACTACATACCTTCCTAAATCCCTCGCAGTCAGTGGGGTTTTACCACCTTCACAGTACCTAGAATCATCCTCTTGCAGGAGGTAACTCATAGTGTGCTTCATGCAAGGAAAAATAACTTTCTTTCCAACCCTGTTTTAACAGAGATCATTGCAATCATTTAGCCTAATCTTCATCTCCTGAATGGAAGCTGAGAGGCATAAATCAGCACAGACGAGTACTCTCTCCTGCTTGCAGCACACAGAGTTGTATCATTTTGCCTGCTCTGGAGCCAAGCATGATCTCTAGTGGCCTAATCAGCTAAAGCTGTTCGCAAGACACTTAGAAATGCAACAAACACATGCTGCTGCACTGAGCCCTCCCATTTTTGTACAGTCAGCAAAGCCCGGCGTGCCCGAACACAGCCTGAAAATCATGCTATGTTCCAGAGGCAAGAGTACTCAAATGTGCTTTTACTGGAGATGTTCGTCTCAGCTGGCACGTTGTTCAAGAGACGCTTGGGGCTGGGACAAGGCAGTCTTGGCTGCATATTTGACAGCCGCTGCTCGCTGCTGAAGTAAGCAGAAAGCCAGGCAGCCTTTTGGGTCGTTTTTTGCTTAGTTTTTCTTTTTTAACTTCTAATAAGCAGCCACCTTTCTGGAAAAAAAAAATAAAATCATCATTTTCACTCATTCAGTTTAGTTTCTAAGCCTGGCTGTAAAAGTGCAGTGAAGCCCAGTGCTGCAGAGCCTGACGTGGCTGTCAATTCCAGCACGGGTCTAATTCCTTCTGACATTTCACACAGCTCTACTGGAAGCAGCAACACGGTGAGTCTGTGTCTAGGAATGCACTCTGGTCTCCCACATTCTCTATATGTTGCGTGCTGACAACGGGCCAGCGCTCACAATCCAGCGCTTGCCTGGCTATCAGCACCACCCCGCAGCACACATACCTCCAGTGCATCGCAGAGCCCCTCCCCTGCCCAGTATCACCTACAGACAAAAGCTTTTCCCCACAATTCTGCTGCCATGGGCTGAACTCCCTCCAAGGGGGATTCCACGTGACCTCATAAATCCCAACTCTTCAGACAAAACCTTTGAAGATTTGATCCACAGATGTGATAAGCAGCCAGCTAGTCTGTGAATGAAGCCAGCAGATAAAGCCTAACTTCAAAGTAATAAAAACCACCCAGACAGCTAAGCAACTGGGAAGGGATTTTGTTTGAGACTTCCTTAAAGCCAAAGGACACATAGTCAAATGTCTATTTAAACAGGAAACATCTTATCAGAACGATTTTACTCTTGCAGCAAGCCTCAGCAGCAGCCAGTAAGTTACTTTTTCCTACACAGAATTCTCTTACCTCTTGCCTTTTTTAGTGTCTCTATGACCTATTTGAGAACACAATAGCTCTGATAAGGCTCTGGAAAAGGTGTTAATGTGTTCATACATTCTAGATCTGAATTCCTGCCGGAATGACTGTACTTCAAAAATGCGGATCAACAGGTGTGTGTGGGGGGACCTTTTCTATGTAATTTTACTGACACCATCATCGAGGCCCAAAATGCACTGAAGCAAATTTCTTCTTCACCAACTGAAGTCAGATATCAGCATCTTGTCCCTTGCAAATGCTGACAGCATTTCCACTACAAACATGTAGCCATCACAGGGGGCTGCTTTCCTTGCTATGGTTTAGAACTACACGGTGATTTTTTTTGCCAGAAACAAAACCGAAAAAATATAACTGGCAAAGAAAAAGGAACAAATTAAGAACCTCGACAATGACTTAACATTAAACTTACTGCAAATTGAGTTGCAGCTGTTACAGTTTTATCCCCACAGAAATGCATCCCATAGCTATTGTGATATTCGAGTGATTAATATCTTAAACCAGCCGGGGTTAGGCTGCACATCTAGACACCCTCTTTACCACGCAGTTCATGCTGTCCAACAGCACGTCTACAGGCAGATGTATTGCTCAGCATATCTACCAGACCTACGATACACAAATTTATCCTGGCACCGACAGGCACTTCGGTATGTGTGGGACTGGTAAAAGCTGGAGAAGAAGCATCTGCTTGAAGAGTCTGCAGCAAGTCTTTTTTTTCGGCAGGGGTGCAGTTTGGAGGCATTCCAAATACTTCAGTACGATCCCTACACCTCATTGTATTTCCAGGGCACTTACACATAACACGTGCTTTGCTGCTGTTGAAAGACAGAGTCAGCTCCTGAAACTAATACCGTTTTGATACGCACGTACCTCTGAGTGAAAGCTCTTGTACACAGCTCTTCAGTAAACTAAAACAAACAGTGAAGCTCGTTTCCATCGCTACATCTTACTTCTAAGCAGCAGAACTTCAGACCAACGCAGCGATGCTTTCTTGGTACCTAACATCACTAAGCACAACATCAGGACGGAGATAGAATTTTTATCTCCACACTTGCCTAATGGCTGCAGATCTCCTGAATATGTGTAGGCTGAGAAGCAAACCAAAGTCATTCAACCTATTGAAACTTCATAGATTATATATGGTTTTAGAAGCAGTGACTTCTCATCTGTAAATGCAGCACAGATGGCAAAAAGACCAGCACTTACAGCACTGCATCTTCGCTCCCTTCCTAACTTGCTGCTTTTGTCTGTGCAGACCGCTAAAGTCCTCAGGGGAGGATCCTGTCTCACTCTCTGGAAAGCCTACCACATACTGGGCTCTGAGTAATTCCAATTACCTTGATATAATAACGCTCTGATAACAATGCCCTAAAGGACAAGCTGCACAAGTCAAAAAGGTCCGACTGGAATGCTCGACTCCTCCTTAAATATAAAGGGTCATCGATGTCCTGTGGCTGATAGATTCCCCCAAGGAATGTGGCCACATTCCACCTGCAAAGCGCTTCATTGTTCCTTTGGATTTTTTGAACTCCTGAACAGTCACGGTGATCTGTGTACAAACAGGCACTTAGCAACTATTTCTCCCTAAATCTGATAGTGAGCTGGTGAATTTCAATGCTGATGGAGACACCTAAGAGACATTCCCAGGAGCCAGCAGGATTAGTGGAGAAAATCTCTCACCTCTGAGGCCCTATCACGGGCTTTCTGTAATTGTCAGAAACTGGAGAAGACCGCGAAGAGGAGATTCTTGTCTTCCTGCTTCTACCATAATTCACCTGCCTTTTGTTACTGCTCATCTTTCCCCTGCTCTCCAATACAGCTGCTGTGCGTACAGACCTGGCTGTGTTCACAGCTGAAAAGCTTAAGGAAGATTCAAAGCATCAAACACCCCCACATTTCAAATTCATCTCAATACACACCTTTGCTTACATCTTTATTTGTCAACATTTGTACATTTGAGCTTCATATCCTGTCACTGTAGATCTATTTGTCCTGTTGTCTGTGGGGAGGAAGCAGCTTTTGGAAAATGAAGGCCTGTGCCAAACAATTTGGACCAACAGAAGCGATCCGAAGTCTAGAAAATGCAATCTATGAGAAAAAGCTAGATCCAGGGCTTCTTCAGACTAGGAGAGCCTGATGGGAGACACAATTGTTGCTTTCAAACAGGAGAAGGTTACTTGAATAATAGAAAGGCAAAAAAGATTGTTTTCAGCTTGTCCATTGTGACCATGACTAGAAGAAACGGATTTAAATTGCAACAAGGGGGACTTCTGAAGATAGTAGACAGAAACTTCTAACACTAAGGATAATCGAGTGCCAGTAGACATGGCCTGGGAGACCAAAAACCTGCAGCGATGGGACATTGTTCGGTGACCAGTTTCTTGATCATTCCAAAGCCATAGAAATGACTTGCTTCAAACATAAGTTGAAGCTTAGTAAATATCCTAAGAACCACAGAAAACAGGTTAGCAAAATACCCTCAAAAGTAATCTAGTTTATCCTGCAACCCACAAAACAGGTTCAACTAACGTTGTAAGTTCTTAATATATCCGTCTTGCCTTCCTCTGCCCTCAAATATAAGAAGAATCAAAGTGATTCACCAGGTTTTGCTGAGAAAAAAAAATATTTCTATAACACACAAAATATGCCATTCAGTATAGAAAAAAAAAATCACATCTTTGTAAGAAAATCAAATCATTAGAGTTGGCAAATTAATAGTGGTTCTTTTTCTGCTCGGCAGCCTGGAGCTCAGGGCACCCCCTCAATGCACGGAGAGCTAATCCGGTTCTGTTTTCCGACCATGGACAATTGTCAGGCTGCAGAGTGACAAGGGACTCTGGGAAGAAGCTACTTTTAACCTTGTTCCACTACTGATAAACCGTCAGAAGAAGAATTTGTTTCAAATTCACTTCAGAATACCAGTCAGAGCCAGAGCCAGAAGTTCTTCTGCACTCCGCTAAAGCGGTTCCATTTTTTCCAAGTATTCGTTTAGAGAAAACAGCCTTGGTGGCTGCAACACTCCTTGTGCTTTAGTTTCTAGCTCCAGTAAAGGTTAACA